TTACAGAAACATAAGTGACTAAGATATAAATCATCAGGTGTGAATCAGTTTTATAAAGAAAAATAAGCCTTATGAGGGAAGTCAGCAGTGATTGAGTTAGCACAACAGACAGCGTGACATGCTATAAAGACACCAGTGCAGTCCCAACCAGGCTGTCTGCTCCAGGACAGATGTCTAGGATGCCTGTGCAGTGCCAATAAGAGGCTGTCCAACATGGCTGTCTATGGTGGTGTGGGAGGCATGGGTAAGGAAACAGAACTAAAGATTCAATTTCAAACCTTTTCAAATTTGAAATTTACTTTTTCCATTATAGAACCAGAAATAGGAAAGAAGCAAGCAAGCAGAAAGTTGCCTCTTTCACATTATAAGGAATTCATATTTAGTATATTACAGAGGTGGTGCATATAGAAATGCTTGTAGATCTTTTAGTATATGTATGGATAGCTCCTTGCTCTGTCATCTGAGAAGGCACAGAAAGAGCCAACACTCCAGGACAATGGGCATACCTAACCAAGTCTTGGTTCCTAATACCATTCTCTAATATAAGGAACTGAGGCTCTTTAAGGAAGGCTGAATCTGGTACTGAGACACAAAGAATGCAGAATGAGCCTGGAGCCTTTGGAAGCGCCAGGCAGTAAGGAAGTGCTCACACTGAAACACAGTTGTAGCAGAGGTTTCTCCGGTCCCACCCGGCCCTGCAGTCCTGTAGACACTTATAAAATAATCACTCAGAGGCTTATATTAATTACCAACTGTATGGCCTATGGCAGGCTTCTTGCTAACTAGCTCTTTCATCTTAAATTAACCCATTTCTGTTTATCTATGTATCACCACATATTCCATGGCTTTACTTGCGTCCCATTACATGTTGCTCCTTGGGTGGCAGTTCAGTGTCTCTGCCCACTCTCCTTTCTCCTCTCACTATCTCCCTTGGATTTTCCCACCTGGCTCCATCCTGCCCTGCATAGGCCAGTGCAGCTTTATTTACTAATCAATAAGAACAGCATATATTCGCAGCGTACAGAAAGACATCTATCCCATTGCACACAGTGATAGGACATGTCAAAGAGACAGGGCAGACAGCTGAAAGGGCTCCCTGTGGCCAAAGCTGGGGCATCTGAAGCAAATTAAAGTATTGGGTATAGCCCAGAATATAAAATAGACTTCTGACTCTATACTGACATAGGTGAATAAATGTGGAAGCAAATAAATGTATGCGAATAGACATATTTCATATTTTAAGGAAATTCCAACTAGCTTATCATAAATATTCCCACCTGTCTTAGTCTCTTTTCTATTGTTATGAAGAGAAACCATGACCAAGGCAATGCTTATGAAGGAAGGTATTTAATTGCAGGCTTGCTTTCAGTTTCAGAGATTTAGTCCATTGTCATCATGGCCAGGAGCATGGTGGCACACAAACAGACTTGGTGCTGGAGAGGTAGCTGAGAGTTCTCCATCCTGATCCATAAGTAGAGAGACTGTTGGCTTGGCCGTGGGCTTTTGAAACCTCAGAGCCCACCCCCAGTGACGTACTTTCTCCAACAAGGCCACACCTCTTAATCCTTCTAATCCTATCAGAGTTCCACTCACGACTGGCTAAGTGTTCAACTATGTGAGCCTGCGGGGGTCCATTCTTGTTCAAGTTGCCACACAACCTATGCTGGGAGGTGGAGCATAAGGCTTCCCTCCTGAGTGTGTACACATAGTGTCTTCCTTCCAAAGGGTGCAGTACAGAATGTAGATTCCCAACACAGGCACCTAAGAACCTACCTCACCCAGGTGGTTAACTACAGTGTGCAGCACAGTGTTAATCTGTGCCCTTGATGTGGCGTGTGGCACTTTACCTTTGTGAGGTCTCCTGAAAAACCCTAATACTAAGCTGACCACAGGCAAAGTGCTAGACAATCCTGTATCTAACTACACCCTACAAACACCTAATCAGTACATCTAAAAAAAATGTCAAGGTCATTCAAACTATGGAAGAGAAACCACCATAGGGTGGGGAGCGGGAAGAAGCCTAAGGAGACAAGGATAACTAAGTTAAATGTGACATTCTGGCTAGGAGCCTGTAACAATAAAGAAGATGTGAGATAAAAACTGAAAACTGAAGATGTTGGAATGTAGTTGTGGTGTGATATGAAATGCTCCCTCCGCCCCCACCCCCCACAGACTCAAGTCTAATACTTGGTCCCAGCTGGTGGCTCTGTTCTAGGCAGTTATGGAGACTTTAGGAGGTGGGGCCTACCTGGAGGAAGTAGGGCCCCAGGGACACCTTTGAAGGATGTACTTGATCCCTACTTCTGTAACACAAATTCCTAAATAGTCTTAATAAAAAAAAAATCCTGAGCCAGATATTGGCGTAAATGCTGAAAGATCAGAGAGACAAAGGAACAAGCCACTGATACATCTCATCTCACCAACTCCATGAATCCTGAGTCTTCACCTGAAAGGCTCCAGCTGAAAAAGCCCTGGCTGAAAGGGATGTTTCTGCTGAAAAGCCTTTAGTTCCTGTCTCCTCCCACCTTATAGACCTTTCTCCACAGCCATCACTTCCTGGGATTAAAGACATGTGTGCTTCACAGTACTGGAATTAAAGGTGTGTGCCACCACTGCCTGGCTCTGTTTTCTCTCCTAGACTGAATCAATCTCATGTAGTCCAAGGTGGCTTTGGACTCACAGAGATCCAAATGGGTCTCTGCCTCCCGAGTGCTAGGATTAAAGGTGTGTGCCACCACTGCCTGGCCTCTGTGTTTAATCTAGTGGCTTGTTCTGTCCTCTGATCTTCAGACAAATTTTATTAGGGTACACAATATGTCACCACAAGTTCTCATTCTTTCCCTGTCCCTATCCCCTTCTCCCTCTCTCCTCTCTCCTTTCTTTTCTCCCCTCTCACTCTCTTCTTCTCTTCTTCCCACCCTGAGGTGAAGATTTCCCTTTATCATACATTTCTGCCACCATGATGCTCTTCCCACATATGTGGGGCTAAGGAACCAGGAACTGGATCTTCTAAACTAGTAAGCCAAAATTAATTCTCTCGAGAATTTGGTAACAGTAACTACTAGTACACTGTGGAAGTAAAACTAACTAGTAAAGTGGTTAGTCCTAGTGTATAAATAAATATTCATTAATTACTTATGATAATCATATCATGCAAAACTAAGACCTTCATACAAGCAGATATTGAGTGCCAGGTGTATGAAAATTTTCTTTTTCTACAAACTTAAGAGTATCTACTTATTTATTTGGTATAATTTTAGTTTCTCTCTTCTATATTAAAACCTTAAAGTAAAATTAGGTAAGAAATAAACATGATTTTAGGATTTTATAGGTTTCTTAGCAAGATAGTAAAGTTTTGTTGCATGCTTGTGTATGCGCGCGCGTGCATGCATGCACGTGTGTGTGTGTGTGTGTGTGTGTGTGTGTGTGTGTGTGTGATATAGGGTCTCACTATATAGCCTGGGTTAGTCTGGACTAGAGCCTGCCTCTCCTCCTGACTGCTGAGATTAAAGGCTTGTACCAGCACACCAAACCCAGAAGTTTACCTTTTCATAAACCTGTCTCCTCTTAAAACATAAAGAGAACTAGAAAGAACTCCAAAGCCAGGCAGTGGTGGTGCATGTCTTTAATCCTGCAGAGGCAGGTGGATCTCTGTAAGCTTGAGGCCAGCCTAGGCTACAGAGTGAGTTCCAGGATACGCTCCAAAGCTAAACAGAGAAACCCTGTCTCAAAAAACAAAACAAAACCCTCCAATATCTTTTTTCCCCTGAAACAGGGTTTCTCTGTATAGCCCTGGCTGTCCTGGAACTCACCCTGAAGACCAGGCTAGCCTTGAACTCAGAGATCTGCCTGCCTCTGACTCCTGAGTGCTGGGATTAAAGGTGTGCATCACTATGCCTGGCCTCCAATAACACTTTGCCCCACTGAAAAGTCCTCTCTGAGGAATTTGCTTTAAATTGTGAAATTCTTGACAAAATGTGTTCATTGAAAAGCTGTTCAGCTTTGAACTTAATGAGTCTTGCATGAAATATTTATTATGAATGTTTTATTGCTGCTCACTAAGGTACTCACAGGAAAAGTAGGTATCAGACCAATGGTCTGTTTCAAAAACAGAAAGAAATATGGAGAAGAAATTGTTTTTCTAGAAAACAGTAGATCACCATTTCAAACATCAGGCAGGGAACCAAAGGCTTGATCTTCTGCCAGGTTAGAGACAAAATCCAGCTTGGCTTTAGCTTGTTGTTTCAAATGTTCCTCAGTTTTTCCTTTCACCTTAATGAATGAGAGCAAATAACATCCACTTAAAAAGATTGCTTCATGCAGCTGTTTAACGTTTGTTTAATATGACTGCCACACGTAGAACAGGTCTGCGCAATAAATAACTGGACCTTTTACCAACTTCATCCCTGAAGGCAAGCACCCTGCCCCTGATGGCCAAGGTATAAGTCATGCCACTAATGCCAGTGTAGCAAATCACTCATCCCTTGCTTTTAAATGAACTTCCTATAAGAAAGATTCTGGCAACATGTGTTATATTCAGATCTAGATGGGTTTGTGCAAGCATGGACCAAGAACACCACCACCCCTGTGTAGAAGCTAGGACTCCCCCATAGATCCCTCTCTCTCATGTCCTCGTCTAGTCTCTTCTCCTGGGTGGCACTTGGAATCTGTACCCAGTATTCCTCACTAGGTCACTTGGCAAAGTCTATGCTTAGTTGGCTGTTTACACTTGGTGACAGTGTGAGGAAACCCTGGTCAGTATAATCTGTATAGGCACAGCAGAAGTAGGCAGTTGCCTTCAGGAATAAAGTTGGTAGAAGGTCCAGGTATGTGTCGTGCAGACCTGTTCCACACACGGCAGGCATGTTAAACACTAACGTCAGTAGAGGCACAGCAGAAGTAGGCAGTTGCCATGTCATGCATCCACTGGCTTGTTTTACTATAAGTGTCTCATCACAGGGGCCGTCTGAAACCTCACCTGCAAAGCAGCCTGGCCCAGGGAGTCAAGGCTGTTGGCTGCACCCATTTAGCACGTTCACTAACTACTCCGTCTTTGAGGTTTCTCTTTGTGATTCTTCCTCATTGCTAAAATGAAATAGATTTGGTCTATGGTAGTGGTACTAACTCCACTCATGGCCATACTAACTACAATTCGCTGTTAGCATGCTTAGAGCTACAGCTGTGCTGTATGCTTCACTGCTCTGTGCAGCCTGCCACATCCTCCCCACAATCCTAGCCAGAGGTTTTCTCATACTATAGAAGGACGGTTGACGCTCAAGGACTCACCAGACATAGATGGTAAATGGGAGAGCATCAGGGTAGCATGTGTGCCCCCAGAGCTCCCAAGCAGAGCGACACTGCAGGTGGACTGTGGGTTTGTCACATACTCTGCTCCTGACTGTGGCCCTCTTCTCTACAGCACCTATGAGTTCCCATCAGTCCATCCTGAATATTTATGCACACCAGCATCTCTCCCGGACTCCTTTTGCATTTGTCATGTTTTTCTATACAGCAAAACATGAAGGTACAAATAGGAATATTTACTTCAAAATACAGTTTTCTGTAGGCATTACTAGTTTGTATCTAATTAACTGTTTACAAGTGATGCGGCAGCCTAACCTACCTTTGTGTGCATGTGATCGTGGTTCTAGAGGTTGGACACAGAGTTTCACACATGCTAAGCATATCTGTACCACTGAGCCACGTACCCATCATCTAAATGAGATATAGAGTTCTTCAGGTTGCAACAAACTTATTCTCTCTTGGTTTCTGATGAGCCCATACCACACTTTGGGACCAAAATATAATAATCAGGAACACCTTGATTCCTAAAGCTGTTTCATTTATGGTATCATAATTATACATAAAATCCCATGTGGACTTGCTAAGATGTCGGATCTGAGCCTCCATACAAAGAAATAAAAAGATATAAGCAGGCTGGGGACGTAACTCAGTAGAGTGTTTGCCTAGCAAGCAAGCCCAGGATTTAATCCTCAAAACCTGGATGTAATGATTCACCTGAGCATACACAGGTGGAGCCAGAAGGATCAAGGTTCAAGGTCTGTCTTTGGCTACACAGCAAAGCCAATGTGAAATACATAAATCTCTACTAAAAAAATAAAGGAATAGAATAAAACAAAGATGTGAGGGTGTGTCTTCCTGCCTCCCGGACTCTCAGCCTTGTGTGCTAAAGGTGATAACAGAAAGAAGAGTACTAGGGCCCCACGTTTGGCTGCCCTTCCCAGGAACAGAGCAAAAAACTAAACAAGTTGAGTGACTAGCTGCAGCACGTGAAGGCGAAAGACTTATTAGTCCCAAGTTTGAAATAGTTTCAGGTAATGGGAAGGACAAGAAACCTCAGCTCTTCATCTAAGTCCTTCCACTAACTGGCTGTCTTTGACTTTAGCAAAGGGAACTTCGTTGACCTTTATTTTCCATTCCTATAAATAATAAAACGGCAGCACCAAACTGTTGGTGTCTTACTTATGTTTTCTTCTACCTGTAATGGGGGGGGGGGGCATTTTGAGGAAGCTTTCAAAAATCATAGTATAAGAAGTTCCAGAATCTTGCAAATAAGAAAATAGATGCCACCAACTACAAAGTTGGTCAGAGTTTTCTGAAAACCCAGGCCAAAAAAAAAAAAAGATAAGATGATGGCTGTTGTTCTCATCATTGGAAAAAGAAGAGGGGAGTGGAAAGGAAGGGAAAGGATAGAGAGAGAGCAGAGGGCCAAAGATGTAGAAGCATGCCAAGTCAGAGAATCCATGATGCCTCCCATGGCTCCTGGAGATGTGTGTCCTGTGGCTCCTGGGTAGCGTCTTCTAGGACAGACGCATTCGCAGAACAAATCTCCCTTGTATTGGGTCTTGTAGAGGGTCTAGTTCAAAGCATGACTCTAAGTACTCTGATGCACTGACGCAGGCCTGCCCAGGTATGCAGCTCACTGACAATCCTTCTTGGCCAAGGGATGAGGCCTAGAGAATCTAAGGAATGGATGCCTGGTGTGAACCTTAGAGTGTCTTCCTGGAATTCCATATGCATTAGCCAGAGTCTTGACAAGTGTGATATGCTACAGACAATTTAATATGGATATTTCCTGGCAAGGCCTTTTACATGTTAAGGCAATCCAGATTTGAAAGTCATCCTTCCCACCAGCTTTCCAGTTTCCAGGCCACTGTTCTCTTGAAGCCAACGAGCTGAATATTTTCATGGTAACCCATAGTAAGGTGAGGAGGGAGGTGACTTCATTTCCTACTGTATAAGATGTTATATTGTTGGATATTTTTTTTGTCTGCAAGCATATATTGCTTTCTAAGATAAAGCCAGGGTTGGAGATGGGGAGAGGAAAGAATGAGATGAAGGATAATTGCATGGAAATGCATTTGAAAAGGTCTGTTTAAGACACAAAGTGCAGACCAGTCTTGTCACTTTGATGCTATTCCACAGATGGCTCAATGACTAAGGAAATGGGATGCAGAAAGGAGGATCAGCTGGCGAGGGTCTGGTGGGAGGTGCTATCTGACCACCTCATCTAAGAAACAACTTACTGTGGCTTCTTTAAACCTCTCTGCTGTGGTTAGGGCAGCAGCCCTACAGCCTTTGCAAGATGAGCAGCCCCAAGTACATCTTGAGGTCCCCTGTCAATTGGAATTACATTTCAGAGGTAGGCTGCCAGAGATGGCTCTTCTGATCCAGCCTGACTGGAAACAGGCTCTTCCTGTCATCATCAGCCAGCCAGCAGTTGCTGTTTGAAGGTGTGCCTGGAATACCATCCATTTGTTCATTCATTCAGTCATCCAGAAATGCTGATTAGATGCCATGCATTGTTTTAGGCTCAGGAGATCCTTTAGTAAAAGCTAAACAAAATGCTGACCCTTGTGGAGCTTACATTTCAGTTAGCTGGAGACATGATAAGTTGCAAAAATAGATGGATTGATGAGTATTGGGTAAAACCCGGAAGACACCACCTGAGCAGATAGTGAAGATTCCTATCTCCAGCTGAAAGGGGTCTCCATCACCTGCCCTCCGTTGTGTTCTGTCTGCAGTGATGCAGCCCAGTCTCATCCACCACTTTCCCAGCAGCAGGCCATCACCTTAGTCTGGTCATGAAGAATGTTCTGTCATCAGAACAGGCTGATGGACCATCCTCCAGCACGAAAGGCCCATAGGCTTTGAAATTGCATGAGGACGTGAAACTGAGGGGACAGTGGCAGGACTCTAGGTTGGAAGAGACCAAAGAGACCTGAAAACAAAATGCAGCTGCCAGCAGCTGCAGCATCTGAGAGCTGGCTGGAAATGTGGACTCCTCTGCCTACATCTCACACCCTGAGGGGGTCGTAATTCTCATTTGAACAAGACCCTCAACCACTCCTGTACACATCTAGGTCCAGGGCCCTCCACACACAGCTTCACCAGAATAGCTCAGAAAACCTTGATCAGGACGTGCCTTCTCCCGTCTCCTCATCTGTTGAATTAGATCACAAAACTGTAGATTCTACAGTGTCAAGTGTGAACTTGGGTATTTTTTAATCTGTCCCAAATGATTTTCACGTGTGCTACATTTAAGAATCCCTGGTCTCCAGATGGCATTGCCATTTGTAAAAGTTCCACACCCATTCCACTCAGACTTCAGAACACAGACTAGAGAGTCAAAGTAATTGTCACCACGATTCCAGCTCTGAGCGCCAGTCCATGACCCCAAGCTAATACTGTAATGCAGCCATGGAATGTAAGTAAATATTGCTGGCTCACATTTCAGGAGTTTTCTAGAACATTTAAGTAGATTTGAAAAATACTTTGTAAAGGATTGTTTGTTCAGCCATCATGCTCTTTCCAATCCTTGTTTGGCATCGAGTTTAACCAGATTTACACCGGTGAGTGTTTGTCGTAAGGCTGTGTGTTTCCTTTCTTCCAGGGCATGTAAATCAGAACATCTGGGTTTTATCATTCAAATACTAAAACATGTCCAATGATTTTAGGAAATTTAGGCCAGATTTTATATGCCACAGGTGTTGGATGTATTTAATAGAGGACTGGATCTACTTATTTGGAGTTTAAAGGTTAAAAAAACTATGCATACCAATTTTGTTTCTGCAAAGTGTTTAACTAAACATTTACAATTTTACTACATCACCAAGCACTTGGAAAAATAGGGGGAAAGAGAAAGACGTTTCTTAGTTACCTTTTTATGAAAATATAATTTTCAGATATTCTTCATTTTATATACTTAACTTTCATCAACCTATTAAAAATTGCTTTTGTTTTCTTCTTAACACCTATAAATTTGCCTGTGGTGTCTCCTGGACCTAAAAAGCATAATCCTTTACTAGTGTTTTTCCCCCCCTGTTTCCTGAAAGAATATAAAAATGTAGACTCTGAAGCCCAGACTAAGTATAATATAGGCATATTCCATAACTGAGTATAGAAATGATGCCATCTAGCAGAGAGCTCAGGAGGATGCTACATAGCCAGCAAGGGACATGTAATAAGTCACTTGAAACTTTGTTACAGATTTAAAGAGACACCACGTGACATGTAGTTGCCTCACCAACCCAAATGCCACAGTTAGAAATCCCTGGCTATGCAGCCATTAATATTACAAAACTGGCTAAACTTCTTGCTGTGCCTCTAGGGCTAGAAAGTGCTTGTCTACCGCTTCTTTTAAACCTGCTGCTCTGCCCACAGCCTACCTTTAAACTCGGGGCAAGGGAAGGAGACTGAGAAATTGTACTGCTTGCTCAGTAAACACTAGAGCTGAGCCAGCAGCCCTGGATTCCTCACAGCACCTAGTACAGAATATCTGCCCAGACAGCAAGCCAAAACCACAATCTTTTGTTGTTCAAGTTTGGCTTGAGGGTTTTTTTTTTTTTTTTTTTATCTGCCCAGACAGCAAGCCAAAACCACAATCTTTTGTTGTTCAAGTTTGGCTTGAGGGTTTTTTTTTTTTTTTTTTTAAATCAATCGATGTCATCTTCTGCTACTTCAGTGTTGTGTTTATTTTGGTTTTGTCTGTTTCTGTCATCTACCCTCTAAACATTTAAAGAAAATATTGCTTAAGTGATTGCCTGAACCAGGTATAAAGTATGTCTTGCTCCCTGAGGCTAATATTCACACACACACACACACACACACACACACACACACACACACACACACACACACAAGGAAATAAGGCTGGTGTTTGACTCCTACACAGTGTCTTATCAGGATATGTATAACCCTTAAATTTTCAGGCACTGTAGACAATCCCTGCCCTGACCAAGGGGTTCTGTCCTGACCGAGGGGTTCTGTCACTTTCACAGGAACTGTCCGCAAGCCCCTAATCTGCCTTGATTGACTGCCCTGAAGAAGACCAGCAGGCTTTCACTCCTCCCTTTCAGTCCTGCCTACTGAAGCCCCCACCCCACCCCCACCCCACCCCGTCTCCAAAACAAATGCCCTTCCTTCCTTTGCAGGTCTGACCCTCACAGGACCAAGGTTTTGAATGTCTGCAGCTCTTAACCTTGAGCGTGCCCGCTGAGCCCCCAATTCACTGTGGGTGGTGACAGCTGTGCCCTCCCGTTTTGAAGCAGATGCTAACCAGAAGGTTCTCCAGGGGCCTCTTCCTGCTGCCTTTGCCTCCTTATGGGAGCCTGGGAGTTTTCTTCCTATGGTCTGTCCTTCTCTCCCATGGGTAATTAGACAAAGGACGGCTGCACCATTAATTCTCTCCTGTTTTCCTGGAGCTTCCCTGCTGGCATTCTGCCCCATCTCCAGCCTCCTCCATCCTCTTCCTCCCACAGTCCAGTCTGCAGGGCACAGCTGGCCTTCCTCCCTGGCTGGAGCTAGAGGCAGAAGTTGAAGCCACAGTGGCATACCTGGAGTCCTGCAGACAGGTCTGCTGCCACAACCACCCTTGGTCCCTCCAGACTGTTGAGAGCTGCGTCCCAGCAGGTCCACCCTGAGCAGGGCATGCCCGTTTGTATTGCCCTTTGTCCTAGGCTTTTGCCTTGGCATTGCCACTCACTCAGGTTGGTTATCTGGGGCAGATGCTGCCATTCCCAACCCCCACTCCCACCCCCTTTCTCACTCTCAGATCTTCCTGGCATGCACCATTTCTCCCAGGGGAACCTTTATCTAAAGACCCACAGAGGGAGGGCAAATGTATCAGGGCTTCTTTGCAGAGGTAGCTGACACCCAGCAGGTGAGGCCAATAGGATGTTCAAGCAGAGGGTCAGGTGACCTCGAGTCTAGGCGCAGAATTGACACTCGCTAGGTGACATTTGCAAGACACTTAACCTTTTCCCCTTCCATTTGTCTAGCAACTAAAGAAAATGAACTAAATAAGATATAAGGCCTTTATAAATTGAAGCACTCTAAAGTCCTTTGCTGATTATATCATAGAGTAGGACCTTGGTAAGAACTGCTCTGTTCTCTGGGTAGTTGCCTCATGGTTACCTTGACTGTAAAACAACAGCAGCCTGTAGGCCTGAGCTGCCTTTTGGAATTATAAGGAAAACCTTCCTTTGTGTCTTGGATTTAGAATTTTTCCAGTGACACACTGATTCTGAATTTGTGGCACCAGTCATCATATACTATGTTGCTCTTTGTGACTGTTCCAACCTCCCACAGCCCCCCACCCCAGCCCCAAGCCGTTTCTAGTGATGAAGGGATATGTTTTCAGGAAGCCAGATGCAGGTATCAGATCTTCAAAAATGCCAGTGGGTAGGAGCCCTGAGCTGTATTCACACCAGGTGCAAGGGGCTGAGAGAAACCCGAGGCTGGTGTTCCAAGCTCTTCTGGCTGCTGGAAGAAAAGGGGGAAAAATCACATAGCTACAGGATCAGGGGACACAGGACTAAGCCTCCTTGGAGATTCATCTCTCTCATCAGCATCTTAAACACTCCAAGAAATCCTGCCAGTAAAAAAACAAAAAACAAAAGAAAGCTTTTTTAATCCCAGCGTTTCCTGAACTTATACGGGCCCAGACACTTCTTCACAAAATGTGTAACATCTGGTACAATATGTGCCCTGGAGCGTAGTTTGGGAAACATTACGTCAGAACACTGCTGACCTATTTCTGTCTGGGGTCTTCAGAACAGGACTGGCTGACACCTGCCGCTGGCTATTCACTGAGCACCCACTACCTGGAGAACATGGGGGACTACGTTGTCAGATCAAGTGTCTGTCCATCAAGATTTCAGAATCTAATGGCACAGAGGGACCAGCCCATGTGAACAGGCAGCAAACAGGGCCATGAGTACCAAGCACAGGGGAGAGGCTGGAGCGGGCCGTTGGACAGCTGTTGATAGTCTGAACTGACTGCTGTGCTCACAGCTTCAAGTGTGCTAGGTGTTCCTTTGCTCTGCTCCACCAGGGTATCGAGCACTCTCAGATCCCACGGTCTCAGAGCACACTCACTGCCTGTTTTACAGGATCTGTAATTGCTGGGGAATTTCACATAATTGTACCTTGTGCTAAACGGCCGCAACTCTGTTGGTTGGTTTTTACACAGAATTAGGATGTGTTCTTTCTCCCCAAAAGATTACTTCCGCTTTTTTGTCTTTTTTTTTTTTCTTTTAAAAAAAATGTGCTTATATTATGCGTGTGGGTGCTTTGCCTGCATGTGTGTCAGTTTACCACACATGTGGCTGGTGCCATGGACCCAGAAGAGGGTCAGATCCCCCAGAATTGGTATTACAACTGATTGTGAGCCACCACGTAGACGCTGGAATCAAACCCAGGTCTTCTGGAAGAGCATATGGCGCCCTTAACGGATGAGCCATCTCTCCAGCCCCTACTTCCATTTTCTTTATAAATTATTATTTATTTATTATTCATTTACTGTTGCTGTTGTTTATTGATATGGGGTCTCTCTCTGTGCTTCGAAGCTTATCTAGAACTCAGACGCTAATGTGGCCCTCCCACCTCAGCCTGTTGAAGAGCTGGGACTAAAGGCATGCAAAGGCATGCATGCACCACCATGCCCAGCAATGACTTCCTATTCAATAATCAGGGAAAATGTTGAAGTAGCAAGTGTCATGTGGACATTTGAATCCCACCTCATCCAAGCTATAACTATACACCCATGCAACTAATCTTTCTGGGACCCAGGACCTAGGTTCCTGGGGCAGCAGCTTGTGACTTCCCATTTTTTTCAGGGCTTCTTTCTCTAGCCAGCCTTATCTATATGTCCTCACATTCTCAGTAAGTGCCTCAAGCTGGCCTCCTGCTCATCTGCCCCCAACCTTTTACTGCCAGTTTTTTTAGGCCATCTACTGATGGTTTTTTTTTCCCCTTATATATGAGAGAGAGATGGTGGGGAGGGAGAGAGAGAGAGACCTCAGTTCCAGCTGCACCCTGAGAATTACTAATATGGTAGCCATCAGACTTCCAGGGGTGAATCTGGGGAGTGGGGGAGGAGAGAGAGAATGTGTAGTATGTGGACTTGTTTGTGTGTGTGTGTGTGTTATTCATAGAGGCCAAACTTTGGTGTCCATTGCCCTTTCTTGATCACTCTCTACCTTTCAAAACAAAACAAAACAAATCCCCATATTTGTTTATTTATATATGTCTGCATGTGTACTC